GGCTCCATGAACAGAACCTCCTCCCTGAGTCTCTTGCTCTTGCCTGTGCTGCATGAATATATTCTTGATTTATCCCCACAGAAAGGTGGGAAGGGGAGGCACAAAGGCCATCATTAGGAAAGACAGTCACGTGCAAGACCCAGATAAAATTTCCTCCTTCTTTTTGACTGTGCTTGTTAATATCAAGGTCATGGAACAAGCCCAGTGTGGTGGTTTGAAATTGTAATGGAGGCTGGAACATTGTTCTGCTGCCTGTAGCTGTGTTCATGGACAGGGTCTGGCTGTGAGCAGTAGCAGAGCAGCCTCCAGCTCTCTGCAGGTCACCCTGGGGACCCTTTCCAGCAAAGTCTCACCCAGTGGCACCTTGCCCATAGAGTCCTCCTGGGCTCTGGTGTGACTGCAGCCTGCAGTGGTGATTCCAGGCTGAGAGGAGCAGTGCAGGCTTGGGCTGCTTTGTTAGAATCCTCTGTAATTGTGGAGAGTTAAAGAAATGCCCTGCAGGTCAGGGTAAGGCTGTGTGTGTTTTCCCCACATCCAGTCAGATTCCCAGCTCCTCAGCTCTCCTTCCTAACAGCAGAAAGCATTTTACTGCTGTATGGGCAGGGGAACTACAACCCCCATAGTCTGGGTGCTAGAGTCAAGCTGGGATTAAGAAGGGGTCAGTGGTTTTCAGAAAACTGCATGGTGATCAGCAAATTAATGAGCTGCTCCCATAACCCTGAGCTGTCTGGGCAGGGCTCTGCCAGCAGAGCTTTGATTAGTATTGCCAGCACACACTTGCACAGATGCACGGCTGGTTGCTTGGCTAAGGGTTCAGACAATTCAGTCTCCTTTCCCCCTTCTCTGCAACTCTCAAGAGAAATATTAGCTGCAAGGCTCACCACACAAATCTCTCTTAAATTCACTGACCACATAGAAACTTTAATTAATCATTTAAAAGTTAAAATTAATATTTCTGTGCTTGGCTGTTCTCAAGGAATGGGTACAGGACTCTGCATGATACACTAAACAGCCTGCACCCCTTACAGGGAGCGGCACTGAGTTTTTTCCCTGCAAAAAGGGAAAATGGGTTTTCCTCATTTGCTAACCTAAAGCAAAAGGATAAAGGGCATCCTAATGGGCAATGGCATTGGGTGCACGAGCTATAAAACCTTAGTTCCCCAGAGCAGCACCAGGAAGCTTTTCCACAATCAACCCCTGGAGCTCTGTGTGTCACAGCCCCCAGTCCAAGGAAAGGCTCTGGCTCCCTGCCTCAACAAATAAGCACAATCACCAGGTAAGAAACAGGTTATAGAAAATTCTTTGATGCTTTTCCTCACCAGCACTCAGTTCCAGCCATGATGACAGTCTGTCAGTGCTTGGCTCCTGGTGAGGCGTCCTCTTCCTCTAAAGCACAAACTTCTCATCTGTGTTTGTCTAATCCTGAACTGGTTTGAGGTGTTTCTCTCACCAGTACTGAAGATTTTTCTGCGAGAGATTTCTCAAGCTGAAATAAGGCCTCAGTAAATCAAAGTCCTTCAAGCCAGGAATGAGAAACATGTGAGAGTTCAAGCAGGGGAAGAAATCCTCCACACACCTCCTAAGAAAGTTTCTGGAGAGGTTCTTATGAATAAGGGAAAATGAACAAAGGAATTAAGAGCTCATGGGAAATGGCTGACCCAGCATCCCTGCAGGAGTATAAATAGCTGCCCTGATTCCCTGATTCCCCTTGGACCAGTCTGCCCTTTGTCAAATCTTGCCTGGTAAGTGCTGGAAAAGGATCTTGGCACAGCTCTGCCAGCTTCACGAGAGGCTCATTTTTAACTTTGGGATTTCTTCCTTTTCTGCACCTTTCCAGCAAAAGGGCTCCTGGGGCTGGTGTGGCTGGCAGTCCTGAGGCAGCCCCAGCACAGGGAGCTGCTGGAGCCCTGCACTGAGCAGGAGAAATCTCTCCAAGCACTGAGCTGTGCAGCACCACCAGCTGCAATGGTCTGATCTGCCTTAGCCAGGGCATTTTAGCAGCATTCACCAGCAGGACACAGCCACACGCTGGTGGCTTTTCTATCTCGGGCTTGCCCTTCAGCTTGTGAAGGTTTTGTGGCACAGTGAGACACATCTGACTTTCCAGCCTGGCACAGCCTCCTCACAGCTTGGATTTGCTGTAGGTTCAGTGACCCCCCTTCAGTGCTGCCCATGGCAGGCACTGCTCTGATGTTGGCAGCCTGCTGTGCAGATGTTGTGCAGATGTTGTGCAGATGTGTGTTCACAGCTTGGAAACCCCTGGCAGGTACCTGTGGGCACAGGTGAGTGCACTGGCCACACCTGCAAGGTACATGCATGGAAATGCTGTGGTAATAAAGCTGCATTCCTGTTTCTGGACTTTCTGGTTCACAGGGAAGGGAATTTGGAGGTTGCTCAGGCACAGTCTCAGGTTTCATTGGCTGATCCAGGCTGCTGGGTCCTGACCTGACAGAACAGGCTTTAAATGAGGTGAGTGCAGTGACTGCATCCTGTCAGATGAAAGCACAGCACAGCGAGCTGGGAGAGCTGGTTCTCCTGAGAGGCAGAAGAATTTCCTGTGCACCTACACAATTTTTTGGTTCAGCTCTCACCTGTGGCTACCATCCCCACAGGGAGCAGAAGGAAAGAACTGTTTCTCTGTACAGCTTAATCCAGTTGAGCAAAGCCTTTTTTTGAGCTTTTCAGCCAAGAATTAGGTACTGACCTTGGGAAGAGAAAAAAATCTGGTAAGACCAAAGGTTGCAATAACCAGACTTGTAAGTCATTTAAAAAATAATTATATGAAGAGTTTCTCCTGCAACCTTTTGACTTCTGACAATTTCAGTACTGGAATTGTTCCTCTGCAGCTGGATTAAGGCATAAGGAGTCGCCCTAACATCCAAAGCCCATGCTAAGACAGATTACTGCCTTGAATTCTACTCAGGCTTTCAACCTCTCCAAAGGCTGCAGGATTTAGCAGGAATGGTAGTGAACAAGGAGGAAGAGAGAGCCTGGCTGCTGATCTGAAGGTATGATTGTGTCACATCCTGCTTTAGGGAAAAAGACTTCGTGTTCTGCTGAAAATCTGAACTTTACAGTAGATCACAACCCAAAAGTTTTTTGTTTTTTTTTAATTAGATGTTACAGCAGCACTTGACATGTGAATAAGCCACAGGCTGTGGAACATGCCCTTCCTCAGGTGCTTGTGAAGATAAGTACCTGTTGCCTTCCAAATCTTACCAGCATTCTCAACATGAAAAGTTCAGAGCCTGATGGGTTAGGAATGCCTTTGCTTCACAGCAGAACAAGAACTGCCCTGCAGAAATGCTCTTTGCATTAAAAGCAAACAAGAATTGATGCTTTTCCAGTCTAAGCTGAGGCTTAGAAGGGGCTGGGTGGCAGCTTCACCACTTGGCCTCAGATCATCTCTGTCCTGTGAGCCAGGTGAGGTCATGGGCATTTCCTACCAAGAGGGATTGTTACAGATTATGCACAAGTGTTTTATTCATAATATCAGCAAATAAAACTGACACCAGACCCAAGATGAAAACAATCCCACAGAAACAACAGAACTCATAAAGCAGGGACAGTAATACCTCAACTCAATCAAGAGAGAATGATCAATCCCACCTGCAAAGTGTTTTAATGCCCAGAATTTACTGGGATTGTTGTGAGGCTGATCCTTACAATCTGGGCAGTGCCAGCACAGCTCACCTGATCCTTCAGTCAGCTTGCACCAGTGTCAGGGCAGGAATGGCTCAGGCACTCTATAAATCAGTGAAGTTTCATGAATCTGTGCTCCCCTGTGGGGCTGTGTAGGGAAAGACCCAACCAAACAATGCTGCAGCCCTGCTGAACCCATTCCCTTCTGGATGTTCTGTGCCATGCTAAGCACACACCCCAAATTCTGCCACCATCCCATGAGTGGGGAACTCCCACTCACTCCTCTAAGGGAAGGAGGTAGGAGAGCTGGAGTTTCAATAAATTAAAGATGCACTTTTGCACTTACTTCCCTTTCCAAGCCATAATGGCTTATGAAGTGTCACAGCAGGGAGTGGAGCATAGAGAGCTTCCCCACCAAATCCCTAAGCAGGGAAGAGTCTGCTGTGGGAATCCCAGCTGCTGTTTCCTTCTTTTGCCTCCTACACAATAAATGGATTTGCCACTTTAATATTCTTTCAGAGCAAGCCTCACAGCAGCTCATAATGACAAGTAGATGTGTTTAAAATCTCTCCATTGCAGCAGAGACCAAGCCCCTCTCCACCTCCTCCGAGCAGAAGCTGCTCTCCATAACCTGTTAGGGATGCAAAGGGTGTTTCCTGGCAAACCACCACAACCATCTTTACCTCGTGTGCTGAGTCTATGAATCAGGATGCAGAGTGGGGAAAAGTGTGCTGGCACCATCCTGCATGTCCAGGTTGTATTAAAAATGGACATAATTTGGCAGATGTATTAAAAATCGCTCAATTATCCCCCACCCCCTACTGATTTATCCTTCTTCAGGCTAGCTCAACCCAGCATGTGGATTCTTCCAGCACATCTGTTTTCAGCGTGCCATGCTGGTGTTTCCAGCAGCAGCAGCTGTGGCTGCAGGTTTGAGAGTTCTCAACAAGGAGCAAGGAGGGCAAAAGAGAAGCAACAATATGGTTCAGTGTCAGGCAGAGCAAGGAGAAAGGCAGCAGAAGCACTGCTCAAACATTTCAGACACAGATGTGCTCCACCCTGTTCCAGGAGAAAACCTGCTGTTTGTCCTTTTAAAGGTCACAAATTCCCCTTGAGAAGCCTGTGACAAAATTCAATATTGCCAAAAGCAAAGGGCTATTAACTATCAAATTATTTTTACTTTGCTCTTTAATTACCCCCTCAGTCCACAAGCTTCTCCCTGTTGCTTCAGTCTGCAGCCTTCACAATAGTTATGAAGCAAAATCAATCACAAATTTATCCCAACAACACAACTGAAACCCAAGTGAACTCTGTCAATGCTCAGCAGCAAAATGTAAAGGACAGTCTGAACTGGGAACAGGCTGCTGACCTCCACATCATCACAGCTCCTAAGAATCCAAGATAAAGTTATGCCTAATTAACATACATTTGAAAAAAGTTGTGGACAGCTTCTGCCTCCCTGTCCCTGCAGCTTGTTAACAGTGTCTGGTAGGGTAAGGCAGCCCCACAGCAACACTTCAGCTCATCTGTGCTGGTGAAAAGGCAGAAACAAAACCCTAGAACATCTCAAAGCTTCGGGCTGTTCCAGAACTCAGGTGCTGCACCAGACAAGACCCAGAATAAATATTTCTCAAGAGCCTGCCTGCTACTACAGCTGTGATGGTTACTCTGCATAGCTGAAGGCTTGGTGAAGGATAACAGAAGAGGCCACGGCCCAGCAGGCAGCAATAAAAACGTGCTGGGGAGGATCAGGGGCTGGGGATTCTCACCAACACCACAGGGGGAAGGAGACCCGGGCTGTAACAATGGCAGCACAGCAGCGGTTCCTCAACAAAGGCAGCCTTGCCCTGTGCAAGGGTCACTGGCAGTAGCTCAGGATGTGCTTTTGTGCAGAAAAATCAGGCTGTGAAAAGCCAGTGTCCATAAAGGAGACAGAGCAGGGAGAGAATAAAGGGAGAGAGGCCAGCAGGGCACACGCCCGCGGGGTTTTCTCTCTCGGGGTTCCCGAGGGCTCAGCCTCCCTTTAACCCCAAACTCTCAGCCTCACGTTCCCTCTTCCTTTCCCCATTGCTGAGGTACCCCGAAGGTGCAGCCTTCCCGAACTGTCTGCCAGATATCCCCTCTTAAACCTGGCATTTTACCCCAAAGTTCAGAAACTCAGCCTTGTGCAGACCCTTACCTGTGTCAGAAATCAAACTGTGCAGGCTCTGTAACAAACCTGGGCAGAGACCCTAACACCCATCCCACACCTCTCACCCACTGCTGCCTGGAAAGGCTGACCTGGAACAGAGACTAGACAGAGCAAAAGGAATAAAATTTGTATTTATTGAAAGGATACACATTGGGCAACGCTACACCCAAATCAAATCCAAGGTGGATCCTGATCACGAGTTTTTACACTCTTATAAGTTTTGGTTCATCTTGGGGTCAATTATCCAACCAGGCTATGAAGTCTCAACCTCCTGGCTTGCCCCCCTCCCTTGCCATTGTTTCTGATTTTTGGGTACCAGTTTTCCTTGATTCTCTAGCTAGAAAGGAATTGTTTTGTCTAACTCCCCTGTGAAGAGACCTTACTTAACACCTAAAATGAAGTTTCAGAGTTCCACACTGAGCAGCAGAGATTCTGAAAAATTTGGAGAAGCTGGAGAATCAAGGACACCCAGTACCCAAAAAGCAGAAACGAGAAGGGAAAGGGGCAAGGCAGGGTGCTGAGACTTCATAGCCTGGAGCTGTGCTTGGATAATTGACCTCAAGATGAACCAAAACTTATAAAAATATAAAAACTCGTGACCAGGATCCACCTTGGATTTGATCTGGGTGTAGCCCCAGCCAGGCTCTTGCACTACCCAATTCAATAAATACAAATTTTATTCCTTTTAATCCTGTCTAGCCTCTGATCCAGATCAGCCTTTCTAGGCATCAGTTACCTGATGGCAAAGCCTCAGGCAAACACAGCAGGCACCAACCTTTGCTGGGTTTCCTCTCTCCCAGCAGTGAATGGGATCAGCAGCCCAGCCTGAAAACCTGCACCTGGAACACCTGAAAACTGCATTCACCTCAGGTTTCCTACCCTGCAAAGCATCACAAATCTGCTCTGGAATATGAGCAGAGAAGAAATGGAGCTTGAGCCTGACATAGGATGACTCACAGAGTGCTCTGAAACTCCAGGCTGGGATTTTACCATCACAGCTGGAAATCTGACTGGAGAAGTGGATTCATCAGCTCCCCTTCCCCTGCCTGCTCCTCTGGAAGCATATCTGGATATCAGGGCTTGGAAGTGATTTCACTTCATTCAAATCTTACTGGAGATGGAGATCACTACAAAAGTTCACAGGTAACACTTTACAGAAACAGAGTTTCCACAGATGCTGTGACCTCCAAGGAGTAACAGCAGCACCATGGGTGTCACTCCTGCAGACAATTATCCAGCTGGAGCTGGTACCCGACCTCATAGAAAGAATCTTTGCATCTGTATCTTGGGACAATTTCACAATGGCCAAAGCAAAACAGTTTTGCTTGGCCTTTTCTTTGCATCTAACAGGGAGTATTTAGTCATCGCCTCCAGCTGTCCTTTGAAATGTAGATTATAAAATACCCACTGCCAGCATGGGCTGTGGAGATAAGAGGAGCACCAGGCTGAAAGTGAGGCTGTGCTGAGCAGCCCGGTAGTTATGGAATATTGTCACACAGAAGGAAAGAGCAGCGTGTGGCAGCTGAGCAAGTGCTCCCAGCACTCACACTGCCAGCAGCAAAGCTTGATCAGCCTACCTGCACTTGGCAGCTGCAAGAAAGTTGATAACACATTCGCTCCTCAGATTGACAGCAATTGCAATTCTGATTGCATCTCTCAAATTCTCGTTTACATTTTTTATTTTCTCTATTAAGTCTCCACTTCCTTCCCCATTTCAGGAGGTTGGACTGAGGTATTTTTTCACATATGCCTCAATGCAGAGACTGAGGGACTGGTTCACATAAAAGCTAAACAATTAGGTAAATACTTGCCAAAATAATTTTATTTCTTTTGTGCATCCAAATATTTATAAACATGCTTTCTGTAACTTTCCAAGACAGCAGCATCTTATCAAAAAACAATTTTCTGAACTTAGCTACATTCTTTTTTCTTTTTAAACAAGCAGTCCTGCTCTCAAAGTACAAAATTAGGTATGAAATTGAATTGCTTGGCAACAGAAACAAGCAAGATATTTTCTTTCATAAAAAACCAATTTCTTTGCAGCCTCATTTTGCAAGCAGGGACTATTAGAAGCAGATTCTTATTGGGCTTATCATGGGTCACCAGGATACTAAAATGCATTTGTTCATTATCCTTTCACAGTGCCACACACACAGAAATCAGCCTGACAGCACTGGTACAGGTTCCTGGTTTTAAGCCTTGCCTTCTGTTTGGTCTCAGTCATTGCCTTTCTGAGGACCATAGCTGTGGCCAGTGTTTCTGGCTAGGCTGAGCTGGCACTGTGCACAGCAGGAAAGCTGTTTGTAGAGTTTTCAACACAACTGTAACCAATCAATGACCAAGGCTGATGCATTAAAAAAATCACAAAATAGTATTCAGGGTTTGTATTTAAACAAAATGAAAATATGGAGGTTACTCCAGAGTGCAGGTATGTTTAAATTCAAACCCTGAGCCCAATATTCCTCTTTTAAACAACTGTCTCCAAAATGTCCCCAAGTACCTAAACCAAGTACCAACCCTAAACAGAAACAGGCTGCAGTGGCAAATAGCAGATCACCATTTCTCTGAGGAGGCCATATACTAAATTTTCTAACTTTTCAAATTTGTTTAACATTTATAATCTCATAGCTCTTTAAGTTAATGTAAAGCTTTAAAGAACAGTGTGTAATTCCACCTCCAGGTTGTGTAAGTAATTTTATTATTAATGAGAGCTGCTGTTCACCCTTAGGACACGAGGTAAGCACTGAGCTCCTGGCACTGGTAGCAAGCCACGCTGTCCAGGACCCATTCCCGAGTTACCACGGCAACACTGCTCTGCTGCTGGATTGCTGCAAGACAAAGACACAAATAAATGATGCAGCTGTTATCAAACACTCCAAACAAGCTAAAGGTGAGTCCACTGATGTCTTTCAGAATAAGCTGTTTGCCTTATCTGTGACTTTTTAAAATGATAAAGACCAGAAGTCTAAAGCAGAGATGTGGCACTACCACTCCCTCCAGCAAGGCAGGTAATGCTGCTGCTCCAGAGAGAAGAGCTCTGTGGCCAAGCAGGAAGCAGTGAACACCATATAAACACTAAAAACAAAGAATGCAGTTGTTATCTTTTAATTTAGGATCTCAGTGACAGAGCTTTGTTTCCTGTCTGCCCAGACACACTGAGTGTGTGACAAGCAATGAGTCTCATTAAGACAGAAGCAACAGAAAATTACTGAAGTGTTTTCAGCCTGTTCTTCATTCCAGGATCTTTTTATTTTCTCATTTTCCCAGTGCCATGGAAACAGCTGGGTTTTTCACATCACCATCCTGCTCCACTGTTTTGTTGGACTTCACTGCAGCCTGACTAGCTCCCATTCCTTCCAGAACCCCACTATCCCTGAGTCTGGAACATTTCACTTTCAAAGTCTCATGGTTTCTCCTGAGCATTTTGCTTAAAAGACAAAAAAACCGCAAAACTACATCTGTTAAGGCTTTTCAACACGACCTTTTCAGACCAAGGGAATCTTGTTCCACCTGAGACTTTCTCCTAGATTTTACTGGTCCTCCAAGGGCATCCTCCCTCACCTTTTAAAAACTATTCAATTAGAAAAGTTTCTATAAAGCTGATGATACACAGAGGACAACTGAGGCAATAGTTTTTGTCTGCCAGAGAAGCTTTTAAGGCTGTTGCTGGTTCTTGAGACAGTATACTTTGTTCTTATAGATTTTTCTTACAAGACATACTTCCATCTCCAGATGCATCAGAGTTTTGATTTCTCATAACCCTCTGATATTTAGCTATTAAAAGGACAGATGTGATAAAGACACTCCATGTGTACCAGAAAGCAGCTCAGGACAGTGTTGCTTTACCTCTGTAATCCACGTTTTCCTTCCAAGCATCTGGCTGCACAACCACAACAGCAGTAGAATTCTAGGATTTTAAGAGAAAAAATAAAAATGCTATTATTGTCTGTCAACACAATTCTCATGCTCATGTCTATCTACAGAGAGCAATAACTGGGCTGACTCTGCTTCAGAGCTTCACTTCAGAGAGGAATTTAACTAGAGGGAGAAAGATTCTGCTGTGATTTCTCTCCAGAAATTCTGTGACTGTGCTCAGTCACTACAAGGCTTTTGGAGCTGGGAAGGGAGGCTCAGTGCTAATTTCAAGATAAATTAGTGATCTGGCCAACACTAATCATTTCTTCACTACAAAGGAGCCTGTCTCCCAGTGAAGGCTGGCCAGGCCTAGGAGCAAGGGGCAGTGCCAGGCTGTGCAGGCAGCTCTGGAAACTGGGAGAGGGTAAAAACTCCTCAGCACTTACTGCTGTGTGTGACAACAGGTCAGGCTGCTTCACCACAGAGGCACCACAGAGCTCCACCATCCACTCCAGATGCTCTGAAGAAATCAGATGAAATCTGTTACCTCAGTGTTTTACATCTCATTGAAGCTGACACTGTTCCCTAAGCCCTTGTGTGTTTGTTCCAATTCACAAAGCACCATCATTTGAAAGAGATGTGAGCCTCAGTAGAAAAAAACCTTCTAGGGAACATCAGCTCCCTCCTGCCTCACTCCCTAGACAGGTCTGCACCGAACAAAACCCTGAAAAAGCACTGGAACACATGCCCAAAACTTAGTCACAATTTATTTCCTCTTATCATAAGGATGCAAGACATGAAATGAAAATTAAAAATGAAGTTACAACTGTGATTATCTCTCATTAACAAAAGTAGCCAAAGTACTTAATTTGCACCAATTTGTTGAATTGGTAGTGAAGAAGATGAAGTCTCTCAAGTATAAGAGCCCCAATTGAGGATCACTGCAGCAGGTGAAAGCACTGCACCCTTTGTAGCAATTACTGTAAATGTCAAGAAACTTGAGTATATTTCACCCAGTCAAAAATAAAATTATATTGGACAAATCAGAAAGTATCTGCTGAATAAGCCACAAAATGGGAAGTCAAGTACAAATATTTAAGGTAGAAAAATTAGAGATTAAATTTTCAAAAACGTGTAACATACTTTATTAAATTCTAAAAGTGAAAAAATGAAGCTATCCTGAACAGCTTTTTCTTTTTATATTAACTCCTAGCTTTGTCACGTTCCACTTTTAACACTTGCTCCTATGGACAGAAGGCTACAACAAGAATGTGTCAACTGCTGGAAGAAGGATACTTAGGAACTGTTTACTAAGACAGAAGAAAAGAAGAAAAAGAGCATCAATAGCAATTACCAGACAGCATGACATCAATGGTTTTCTTTCAGTGCTAGAGAATCAGAGGTAAACTAGATAAAAGGCCTAGTTTGAAATGCAGCAAAATTGGCAGGAGGTTGTCTGAGGACATCCAAACCATAGAAAACACCATTTCCACTCCATTTGGAGATAAAACTGGACAAAATTATTTACCT